CCTAACAGTCATGTTTTTGGACTGTGGGAGGAAGCCGGAGTACCCGGAGAGAACCCACGCATGCTCAGGGAGAACATGCAAACTCCATGCAGAAAGACCCTGGTTTAGGAATAAAACCTGCGAGCCCCAAAAATATAACATATATTAAAAATATAATATATATTAAATAGATTTTTCTAAAGAGATGTGCAGTTAGATTATGTTTACTTTGATATGGTCTGTGTTCCTTTAATTTAACTTTCATGAATCCCAGTAATTAATTTTTTAGCCTCTTCTAATATTTAAAGTTGTTTAAAAATGTGACATTTGGGACGGATCTTTGATTCATTGGATCCTGTTTATGATCACTCAATGGGGGGGAAAAATAGAAAAATATAGGCTGTCCAACTCTGATATCGATACTGTGAATCGGTCTGTTATCAGCCAATAAATGATTATCAGCATACATCAGCCTGCCTTTAAAATTTCTGATATTAAGAGCTCATAGAAATACTTCACTGCTATCTGCTTTTGTTAAAGATTATGTAACTCTGTAGTAAGAAATGGGTCAGTTGTTCTCAGACAGGACGGTTATCATTAACGTCCCAGGATCTTTCTGCATGGAGTTTGCATGTTCTCCCTGAACATGTATGCGTTTTCTCTGGGTACTCTGGCTTGCACCCCATGAAAGATGACTGTTAGGGTAATTGGCTTCTCTAAATTCTCCTTAGGTGTGAGTGTGTGCTTGAATGGTTGTTTGTGTTGTTAGTACCCTGCTTGGGATAAGCGTGACAGGAGATGGATGTTTAAGAGAAATAACTTAATATCTTTATATTATATTCTATCTTTCCACACTCTAGAATAAGCAATAATTGTATTTATGATTAATGTTGCTATTTTATTAGTACTGATGTGCTACATATAATCTTAATAAAACAAAGTTTGTACTTCCAACTGGACAAAATAAGTTGCAGAAAGCAGGAGTGTAAATAACATGCAGCAATCAGAGAATGATGTTTGCTGCTGAAGTGTCAGCCTCGTGGCTGCGGGAGGTTTTTGTATTCCACTTCAGACCTGCAGCAGAGCAGATTGAGCGTAGCAGGTCGGAGCCGCCTAATGCCGTCACCGTCGAGTGGGCCTGACACTCCTCATTTCACACAGCACTAGAGAAATTGGAGAATTATTTGCAGTATGTACAATTAATTTGTGTCACTTCTCTCTGTCTCTCTGTGTCCATCAGGCCAATGAAAACAGTCTGCTCAGCGCGCAGCTGAAAGGCTTCCCCCTCTTTCTTCACTCCAACTTGGGTTTAAAGGACTGCACCGTCAACCCCAAGTCGCCGCTCCTCTTCATCACTCGGGCCGGCCAGACGCTGCCCGGTCCTCTCCCGGGAGACGACTGGACCGTGTTTCAGTCCAACCACTCCACATATGAGCCCGTTCTAATGGCGAAGACCCAGTCGGCCGAGAGCGTGGCGTCTCTGGGGCAGAATGCAGCCATGCTGCCCTCTGTGGTGCAGGACCTGGGGCTTCATGATGGCATCCAGAGGGTCCTGTTTGGCAATAATTTGAACTTTTGGTTGCACAAGCTGGTGTTTGTGGATGCTGTGGCTTTTCTCACCGGGAAGAGGCTCTCGCTGTCTCTGGAGCGGTACCTGCTGGTGGACATAGATGACATCTTTGTCGGCAAGGAGGGCACCCGCATGAAGGTGCCTGATGTAAAGGTGAGTGGTGAAATGAGCCTGGCTTATCTTCTCATCTGGCTGGGTTTTCAACAGCACTTTGCTATGATTTAAAAATAAAATGGCCACCCACAAAGCATCTCCTATCATCTGCCAGTCACAGAGAAACACCTTCTTCTCTCTCCTCTTTTCCTGTTTGAATGTATCCATCCCAGCAGGCTGCTCAAAGCTGACAGGCCCCGCCGCTCGCGCTGTCACAAAACCTCTGTGACGATGAATATTTCAGGGGCTCTGGAGTCGCACAAAGAATGTCGAAAAGCTTCTTGCTTTTGTCCCTTCAGAGCAGGAAAGCCTCCCCTCACATGCAAAGGCAGCGGGTGGAAAAATAAGAAAAAGTTTTGGTGGAGCGTTCGAATCAAATGTAACAAACATCGGAATCAGAGGGAAGCAGAAAATATCAAACGGAATGAGGGAGAGGGGAGGCTGCAGCTGGGAGTGGATGTTGCATGTTTACCGAGAGAAACTTGCAGAATTAAAGATATATGTGGGCACCCTCTGCTCATTAATGCACTCGTGCATCAGTTTGAGCTCATCTTCTGTTGACTCATTCTTCTTCCCCTCCCACCGTTTCAGGCCCTGCTGGAGACGCAAAGGGAGCTGCGCACCCATGTGCCCAACTTCACCTTCAATCTGGGCTTCTCAGGGAAATTCTTTCACGCTGGTAAGATGCTAGTTGGTTCATGCCGAGCCAGAAAACATCTTCAGATGAAGCAAGTTTTTAAGTCTGTTTCTGCTGTTATTCTCCACCATGCTGTATCCATTTGTTTTTGTTTTTCCTTTTTTTTCTTGCCGTTGCTCATCCTTAATGTGAACTTCTCTCCTTTTGCTTCGCTGACTTTCATTTCCTCCCTTATTCCATCATCGCTCCCATTTTACCTTTGTCTCATCTTATCCCGTTTTATTTTTGTCTTCTCAATTTCCTTCTAAATCCCCCTTTTTCCTGTTGACCTCCTTGTCTCCCTTTCTTTGACTCCTACAGGATCAGATGAGGAGGACCTAGGAGATGATCTGCTGCTGTCCCATGTGAAGGACTTCTGGTGGTTTCCTCACATGTGGAGCCACATGCAGCCTCATTTATTCCACAACCAGTCCGTGCTGGCCGAGCAGATGTTGCTAAACAAGAAATTTGCCATGGTGAGTCATGGTGGAGCAAAAGGTCAAGGCTTTGATGGAACGCTGTGTTCAGAGACATCTTTGTTTAACTCCAAGTGCTGAAAGTTTCCAGCAACCCCAGTCTTTGATCAGTCTTTTTTGTTTGTTTGTTTGTTTCTTGAAATGAAATGAGAAATACATCTGTTCCAATTGATAATTTCCTTTTTTCCATAATTTACTGTGAGAAAATTTTAGCTGTAGGGGTCAAACTATTAATTGAAACCAAAGTTAAAACCACCAAAACATCCCAGCTGGTCTATTCCAATGATTTACAGTTTCTGTGAGGCTCTACACAATAAACACATCAGTTCAAGACAGTTTTATGCCTTTTAAAACTGAAAAGGGAAATTTCTCTTTTGTAGGTTGTTAAAAAAAAATGGAGTTGCATATTAAATCTTTCACATTTTATTTTGTTTTTGGAACATAAATGACAATTGTCATTATTTCAGCTTGAAGCAGTTTTGGCTGAAGATTACAGAGTAATCTTTGCTGGAAAAAAACTACAGAAATAATTTGACCCGTCTAAAAACTGCTTTATTATTTTAAGGGAATCAAGATAGTAATATTCTTGTTTTTTTATTACTTATTAATTAAATACATTTGCAGAAAAACCTACTAGGTTGTTTTTCTGTATACATGTTGATCTTAGGATTAAATCATAAAGTTTGTAGTTTATATTCATAGAAATATCTCCAAAAGTCAACAGTCAACACCACAGATAAATCTTGTTAAAATATATCAGTGGAATCGTGCAAAGATGAGTTAAAGATA